GTAAATTGAACGCTAGCTTGCTGCTTGTTCCAGGTTCTTTGTTCGCTGGCTCAAGATCATATCTACTTTTATTCCCTAGTCCTCGCAAACAAACACTCGCAATATTTCCAAAGGGTAGAGAGATACAGTGGGCCCTATGGCCAAGCAAGTGATAGTGCTGAGCAAAGAAATACGTAAGCGGAGTTTAATTTTAGAGTCTTAATAAAAACTTAAAAGAGTTTAACAATTGCTTAACTAACACTAACACAAGCTACGAAATTATTGAAAATTATATGAGTAAAATAATTTTTTTTAATTGGGCACCACGTGGCCAATGGTTAGGTTCGAAACTGAATAAGTTCTTCCTTGATCGTTTGGAAAAGCATTCTTATTATTTTTAAAGTAAATTTTAAATGCAATTTTAAAAAAAAATTGAAAAAGTAGTGTTCATTCAAACAAGATAAATTATTCTTTGCGGATACCGGATTGTTCGGAGATCAAATAGAAAGTGTCACGTCACCCGCTACACAATAGTACTGAGGAAAAAAATGACATGACGCATTCTGGTTGGTCTCTAGATATTGTCCGGTGTCCACACAATAATTTTTCCCAAACAAAGCCTAAGGTTTAGTTTGTGATGTTTTTTTTAATTATTTTATTTTTCATATCACAATAATAAATTTTTTTTGGTAATTGCCTTTTGTTATTTAAAAAAAAAATTATACTAAAAAGTCATTTTCTGTAATACTTAAAAAAAAAATTCTCTAAGAATTTTTCAAAACAGTAAGAAACTATCACAAATGAAATCTAGCTCTATGATTATTCATATACGGTTTGCTTCATTTCATAACAAAAAAAAAAAAAAAATGAACGAACTTAAAAATGAAAATACTCCGCTTAACTCAATTCATTTTTATGGTTGATAATTTTTTTCAAAACTCAAAATTAAAATCAATTTATTCGAATTCAATCTACTCCAACTAGAAATTGCAACCAAAAATCAGCTTACAAAGAAAAAGCAAATTAATTTGCAGTCTCTGCTCTAATAACTTTCAATCTGCGCGCGGCGGCCCATTTGGCAAATCAAGACCGCTCACTCATTGTATTCACCAGGCCATCAAAAAAGCATAAACAGCCAAAGAACAGGCTTCTTTGAAAGAAGTTGAGGCGCTTGGTATTAATCTCTTTGCAGTGTAGTGTTTGTCCAAGCTATCAAATTATTCTTTCCACTTTTAATCCTGAAATATTGGCTTAGATCTCCCAATCGCAATGTAATCTTCTTCTAATATATTCACAAACAGCCAATTCATCCAGTTATTTTCACCTTAACAAAATAAGTTATACTACTCAGACTATACCACAGGTACCTACTAAATCACAAAACCAACAGGAAGTTTTTTCTTATGGAAAGTTATGGAATTTTAATGCATCTTACTGAAAAAGAAAACGAGCCTTACAGAGAAAAGTTACGACTTGGGCGGCAATTCTCCGTTGAAACTGCTCACTAACAATAGTTTCAACGGTCCCCTTATCTACCTGCAAGTTCTTATTATATGACTCTACGGTGCAAGCTGAGTTTCAGTAGAGAGAGATATATGTATGGAGAGAAGGAGAGTTCCTTACTTCCTTGTTGTAATAGGATGGAGGTGAAGAAAGGTTGGTGGACTGCAGAGGAAGACAGTAAACTAGTTTCGCACATTCAGAAATATGGTAATAAAAACTGGAGATCTCTTCCAAAACGTGCAGGTTGAGCTATACTTTCTCTCTTCTTTTATTTTTTGTTTATTTTACTTATCTATGTAGTTCCTTTTACTTTGCTTTCTTAGTTCAGAGAGTTATATCATGATGAATAGATCGAATGATAGTATTAGCATTACTCAGCCAACTGACATTGTAATATTTACTTTATATGCCATTTGAATACCTATATACATATACACAGTGTAATACAAACGGTAGATGAATAATACAATTCTGTTTTTCCCTCTTCTCCCTGTCTCGGTCCTATCTTCTTCCTCTTCACATTCTTGAAGGAAGCTCTCATGGTATCAGAGCTCGGCATGGGAGACCAAGCCTCAGCCAATTCAATCCCTCCCTCCTCCTCCTCCACGGTACATTCTGAAAATTCCAATGACTCCATTTCGATCCCTCATCCGCTCAAGTTTCTTGTGTCCAACATCAAGAACTTAGCTTCGCATCACCTCACCGTGGAGAACTACCCGATCTGGCGTATGCAAATTCAACAGCAATTCGCAGCCAATGGATACTCCGGCTATCTCACCGGAACGATCCAAGCTCCCACCGACTCTTCCACCGACGCCTATGCCCGATGGCGATTGATCGACAGCAATCTTCTTGCGGCTCTTTTCTCCACCATTTCGCAGGCGATCTTACCGTACATCATCACCTCCACCACCACCACCGAGGCTTGGACGGTTCTTGAAAAACGACTTCAACCGTCTAGTCGTTCTCGGGTAATGCAACTCAAGAACGAATTATACCGGATCACTATGAAAGATCAGTCGCTCCAACAATACCTGACGCGTATAAAAACTATCGTGGACAATATCTCCGCTTCCGGATCAAAGATTGAATCCGAAGACATTATGTTACACATACTCAACGGTCTTCCCCCAACGTTCAACTCATTCAAGTCCACCATCAGTAATTCCCTTCTTCCGATCGACTTGGATACGTTTTACTCGCTACTCTGCAACGAAGAGATTCATCTTCAGCAAGAACAGCAGCTCGACATTCAACAGGCATCATCTCCGACTGTACTGTACGCGAATTCAAATAACTCTTCCCGCGGACGTCAATCTCGCCGTTTCCTCAAGAACAAGAACCAGTCCAACTCGACAACTCCGCAAATCGTCTCTCAATCCACTTCCAACACTACTCCAGCAACCCGCCCGACCTGTCAGATATGTGGCAAGATCGGCCACATTTCCCTCAACTGCTGGCATCGCTCCAATTACAAATACGCTCCCACGGATACACGTCAACCGCGAGCTCTTCTCGCCAATCCGCCGTCCACCCCAAATCAAGACTGGGTTCTTGATTCCGGAGCTTCAACACATCTCACACCGGACGCGAACAATCTTTTCTATCCTACGGCTTACTCCGGCTCAGACTCGGTCTCTACCGCCAACGGTTCAACTATGCCAATACACAACACCGGGCAAGGCCTTCTACCTCTTCCCGACAACTCTCGTAAGCTTTTTCTACGAAATCTCCTTCATGTGCCTGATCTTACGCACAATCTTCTCTCGGTATCTAAACTAACCAAAGATAACTCCATTTCAATTTGCTTTGACGCTAACGGCTTTGTTATTAAGGATTTCCAGGACCAACGTCCGCTTCTTCATGGGCGTCTACTTAACGGTCTCTATCAAATTCAACCATATCCGAACCCGTCGCACACTGCCTTCTCTGCTTCCACACCGACGGCTCAGCTTTGGCACGCGCGTCTCGGACATCCAAGCTCCAGCGTTATTTCCTCCTTAGCTAAACATTTCTCTGAAATACCCTGTGTACCGCAATCTTTCTCCTGCACATCTTGTAATTTGGCCAAGAGCCACAAACATTTCTTTAATAAAAATGAAACTGTGACTGCTAACCCTTTTGATCTTGTTCACACCGACGTGTGGGGTTCGGCTCCACTACCATCTGTTGAAGGGTATCGCTATTACATCATATTCATTGACGATCACACACGCTACTCGTGACTTTATCTCATGCATACTAAGCAGGAAGCATTCACTAAGTTTAAATCTTTCTGCAAATTAATCAAAAACAAATTCCAGCAAACGCCCAAAATTCTCAGATCGGACGGCGGCGGCGAGTTTACCAGTACCATCTTCAAACTATTTCTCCATGACAACGACATTCAGCAGCAATTATCGTGCCCTCACACGCCGGAACAAAATGGACTTGCAGAGCGTAAACATAGACACCTCTTGGAGCTTACCCGTGCGCTTCTTCATGCATCCAGCACCCCGCACAAATTCTGGGCTGACGCGCTATCAACGGCTCATTATCTGGTAAACCATCTTCCTTCTAAAGCTATTAACAGCCAGATTCCGTCGCAACGTCTACACGGCACACCACCGTCTTACAACCACCTTCGGACATTCGGATGTCTCTGCTTCCCGTGGCTCAAACCGTACTCATCAAATAAACTTTCTCCGAGATCAGCAGAGTGTGCTTTCCTCGGCTATTCACCACTACATAAGGGTTACCGGTGCTACGACATCAAGAACCAACGCACTTACACCTCTCGTCACGTGGTGTTCTACGAACACACTTTTCCTTTCAAAGACCTTAGCCCACCGTCCACGGAGAACTCACAAACACACATTCCTATCACTACTCCACTTCTCTTCCCACCTGTAACTACCTTACCCAAAACCACATCTCAGCCAGACTACATCCCAGCTCGCGCATCCCTGAATCAAAGTAATGATCCCTCTATACTCGTCTCACCGGCTCATCACTCCTCTGCACAAACACCTATCACAACCACTCGTGATCATAACCTCCCACAACCTCTCAAACCCACTCACCATATGCAAACTAGGCTCAAAGCCGGTATCACCAAACCCAAACAAATTCTAAATCTTCTCACTCAACCTACCACCACAACCACACCGAACACTTACAACCAGGCCTCTAAAATTGATCACTGGCGGTCTGCCATGCAGGCCGAAATCTCGGCTCTCAACAAACAGCAAACCTGGTCCTTAGTTCCCAAACCGTCCAACAAGCCCATACTTGGCTGCAAATGGACCTTCAAAACGAAATTACTACCAAACGGAGAGATTGATCGGTACAAAGCTCGCTTAGTGGCCCTCGGCTACAACCAGCAATTCGGGATTAACTACACGGAGACATTTAGTCCGGTAGCCAAAATGCCGACCATCCGCATGCTACTCGCCATCGCCCTCCATTGCAACTGGTAAATCCATCAGCTCGACGTCTCCAACGCATTTCTTCACGGCGACCTACACGAAGACATATACATGCGTCAACCTCCTGGCTTTGTCGACCCACAGCAACCCGATTCAGTTTGCAAACTCCACAAATCCCTCTACGGTCTCAAGCAAGCACCTCGTCAATGGTTCAACAAGCTCACAACGTTTCTCCAACTTCAAGGATTCGGGTTCAGTCGTTCCGATCCCTCTCTTCTAATTTTTCATAAAAACCATATTCAGATTTACTTTCTCATTTACGTTGACGATTTCCTTGTCACAGGCAACGATTGTTTCACGATCAACCACATTCTCGGTCAACTTCAAGAACAATTCGCGCTCAAAAAGTTGGGACAGATCTCTCTCTTCTTGGGAATCCAGGTAATTCGATCCTCAACTGGCTATTTTCTCACTCAAGAACACTATGCTTCGAAAATCCTTCATGATGCAGGCTATGCCGACTGTAAGCCGGCTCCCACACCGCTCGCAACCAACTCCAAGACTGCACAAACATCAACGGCTCCATTTCATGACCCAACACTCTACCGCAAGCTAGCCGGGTCCTTACAATACCTCTCCATTACGAGACCCGACATCGCATTCGCCACCAACACAGTATGTCAGCATATGCAGAATCCGACGGATCAAGACTTCAAGACCCTCAAACGTATATTACATTATGTCAAAGGCACAATCACTTACGGGTTTCCCATTACTACCGGACCTCTAGAGTTGCGCGCCTACACTGACGCCGACTGGGCATCGGACGCATCAGACAGGAAGTCGATCTCAGGCTTTTGCACATTCTTAGGTCCAAATCTCATCTCTTGGACGGTTAAGAAGCAAGCAACCGTGGCCAAATGCTCAACTGAAGCGGAATACCGATCCTTGTCCTCCGCCCTTTCTGATGTGATCTGGCTTCGCAGACTTGCCGAAGAACTTCAGATACCGCAACCAAATCCGACCATAATTCATTGCGATAACACCTCGGCAATCGCCATAGCTAAGAACCCTGTGTTTCACGCAAGGACGAAACACATTGAGATCGACTATCACTTCATACGTCAACACATCAACTCCAATACCGTTCGGCTCAGTCACATTTCCTCCAATGATCAAATCGCCGACATTCTGACTAAACCTTTTTCCTTCACTCGCTTCAACGAACTAAGAACCAAATTAAACATTCGACCGTCGAATGCTTAATTTGCGGGAGGATATTAGCATTACTAAGCCAACTGACATTGTAACATTTACTTTATATGCCATTCGAACACATATATATATATGCACAGTGTAATACAAACTTGATATGAATAATACAATTCTGTTTCTTCTTCTTCTCCCTGTCTCGGTCCTATCTTCTTCCTCATCACATTCTTGAAGGAAGCTCTCATAAACATCATAATGACTAAACAAGCAAGAAAGTAAACACAGCGGAAAAGTAAATGACAGTAGGATTTAACATGGAAAAATTCAAAATAGAGAAAAAAAAAAAAAACTATGGAGCACACCACACCATAAAATCCATTATGAAAATTATGAGAAATAAGTGCAATGTCTCTTCTCTCTCAACCTCTCCTTCTCTTCTCACATGCCCCATTTTCAATGTTTTTATACTCAAAAAATACAAGAGAAAGTAAGTTATAACCCTCAAAAGATGCAACCCTTGAGAAAAATAAGAGAAATAGCAGTTCAATCCATCTCATAACGCTAAGTCTCTTTTTGACTATGATTCACAGCTCAACACTCAGCGCTCGCTACAGGGGCGGAACCAGGTTCAATTTTGAGGGGGGGAAGCAAATACAACATAAAAATAATTAAATATTTAAAAAATTATATTATATGTCTATATGTTGCAAAAAAAATAAACAAGAAAAATAAAGAAAATAAAATTGTAATTAAACTATCATGAAAAGCATCAAAGAGAATATTAAAACTAAATGTGAAGAAATATATAGATATTTTAGGACAAGTTATAACAAAAAAATTTTTTAGGGGGGGGGGCAAAAAAAACTTTTAGGAGGGGCAAAAATTTTTTTTTACTCTCATATAATTTTTTTTTTTACTCTTATAATTTTTTTTTTAGAGGGGGGCAATTGCCCCCCCTAGGAACCAAGTGGTTCTGCCACTGGCTAGCTATGAGGCTCAGTCTTTGTCTTGACCCGCTGCAGCGTCATATATCGATCGCTGTGGTGCATTGCTCTTGTCGTTCAGTGTTGGGGCGCTCGGATACACAACAGGGTGTTGTATGAAAAAAAATTTGGGTGCAAGCAGTACGTGGGTAAACCCCCCACACCCGCACGGTATACACGATAAACTTTGAGGTACGAGACAACAAAACAACCCAATTGATCAACACAATCAAATTTCACACATAAAAAATCATGTACAAATTATTGATATGATTTAAATTAGATTGAGAACTTATTCTTACATTAATCTATTTTTTTTATTCTATTCTTACATTAAGTTGGAGCTTCAATAATGCAATGTTTTTGAATGTTTGTAATTATTTGATTGTAATTTTGTATTAGATTTGAATAAGATTTTGACTCTTAACAGGACATAAAAGGAGAAAAATAATAGATGATATTATCACTTACAAATAGTCTACAAAGTTTGTAAACATCACTAGCTATGTCAGCATCAATTATTTATTTTTGAAATATGGTAGCAGCTAATCATAAATCACAGTCAAATTTGTTGGCAATAGACTCCCTGGCAGAAATTGAAACGGCTTATTTTTTATTTGTTTTTTTTTAATTATCAATTTATTTATATATAAATTTCTATTATATTATTCATGATTTTATTCTTGTTTTTCTCATAATTATGATTTTGATCACTTAACATTTTAATAAATTTATAAGAGGCTTGAATGCATATTATATTCATTAAATATTTGCCAATCATACTTAATTACATATTTTATCTAATTAGATTAATTATCATTAATTATATTAATTAAATATTTATCTAATTATATTAATTAAATATTAAATATGATTGAATGTGTAATTTTGTTATTATATTACAAAAATATGATTTTAATCCCTATTTCACGAAATTTATTTAGTTGTTTAGATAAATAAAATTATATATTTTTAAAGTTTAAGTGAAATCTCTTTGAAGTTTCCTTATGGTGATCTTTCCCTCATTCTATCTAAAAAAGGTTGCAACTTATTTTATATTATATATTTTAATCTATTATTGATCTAGTTGGTGTTAGTCCACCATAAAGAGGAATTTAGTGGAATCCTATGCGAATGATAAGCTTATATGTCAAACCATGAAGAAAGCCTTTGTGTCCATTACTCTTTAGTTTATTTACTCAAGCTCAATAGCTTATTATGTTTGTGAGAGCATTTGGGGTGTGACTTTTGTGTTTGATGATTTATTTATACTGGAATGTGTGATTCAGTGGATATTAATATTAAGCTTGATAGATTTTATCAATCATCGACTTGTTTTATATCGATCATAAATATATGTACATCGTAGATTATCTGTGTGTTTTCTATGATAATCTGAATTGGTTCTTGTGCTTATGAGTTATGATAGTTCTATTGAGTGGTATATCTGCAATAAAGCTTATTATTCGTTCACTATCTATTTACTTTTAGCTGCTTGATTTTGAGATTTTTCATTGATAAAACTTTTAACAAATGATTCCAAATTCAGGGTTTAGTGTTCATCTTATCTTTTTATATTATATAACAAAAAACAACTAAAATTGTTCACTTACTCAAAAGAATAATTGAATTGGTGCTTCTATTTTATTGTCACATGCATCCATTAGTATTATAATCAGGGGCGGATCCAGCTTTTTTTTTCAGGGTGGGCAAAAAAATTTTTTTGTGGGGGATGGGCAAAGATGCTTAGGATTGATCAAAAAAATTTTTTTTTTTGAGAAGGGGCAAAATACCCAAAATATTCCAAACTATCATCTCTAAAAAAAAAATTTTTTTTTAGAGGGGGGGGGGCGAATGCTCCCCCTCAAGGCAATGGGGATCCGCCCATGTTTATAATCCAGTATTAATGCAAGCATTCATCATTAAAAATTTTAAAATTATCATATATCATTAGCATGATTGTTGAACTTTAATATTTGCCCATGCATAAGCCCCTTTTCATAATAAAAATTACTATTTTTATCCTTTATTCAAAATATAAATTTTTATACTAAAAAATTATTTTAAGAAGAAATAAGTCTTTGTTTGGGACGGCTTTTTTTCGTCTCATATGAAACCTAATGAAAGCCGTCCAAAATGAAGTCTAAAAAGTTGCTTTCTACATCAGCTGTAAAAAAAGTTACTTTCATCATAATAGCTTTACAGTCGCTTTTATAAAAAACTATAATTATTACAAATGGAAACTGAGGGTGTGACAATTTAATTTATTTTTTTAATTTGTTGAGTCTGAGATCCTAAATATCACTCAACTAATCATGCAATTAGTGAAGTGGTATATGAATGCGAACGTAACATTAGCTGTTAATATACAAGACATTACTACTGGTCGGCAATGCCATGTTATTTTGATGCCACGTGGATAAGTTGTGACCCGTGTTCACTCCCGAAGATTCTTTTTTGTTGTGATTTGTGAATGCTTTCACGTTCCATTTACGATTTGTGTTTGGTTGGTGAGTAGTTCTTCTCTGAGCTGTTGTGGAAAAAAAGCAGGGTTTTCGTCTGCTAGGGTTTTGCTTCCTGGTGGCTTTGCTTTCGTCTTGCTTTTTCCGGCCGCTTGGCCGGAATGGCTACTGATCCTTCTGGATTCCCTCCACTTCCGGGCTCCTCGATTCTGGGTGCCATACCTCTTTCTCTACCTCCTGTTACGTATGCTAGCAACCTCTCTGCCTCTCCGTCCTATTCTGATGAGTTCCCGATGTCCTTTGTTTCCCCTGCTAAAAAGCTTTCCTTCAAGACTGATGATCTCTCTGAAGGTAAATCCTTCTGGAACTTGTCCTTGGTTGGATACTCCATTGGACAGCGCCCTTACTACGAACGACTACTGGCTGCTATGAACAAAGCCTGGAAGCTCAAAGGCTCTTTCTCCCTACTTTCTCTGGCAGATGATTTTTTTCTCATCAAATTTACTTCTGCGGAAGATTTCGACTTGGTTCGCACTGGTGGCCCATGGTTTCTGCTTGGAAAACCTTTCATCTTGCAACAATGGTCTCCTAAGTTCAAGCCGAAGAGGGACGAGTCTGGCACTTTACCTCTTTGGATTAAGGTTCTTGATCTTCCCCTGGCTCTTTGGACACCGACAGGTATTTCCAAAATTGCTAGTTATATTGGAGTTCCTCTCTACGTCGATTCGCTTACTGCTAAGAGAACGCGACTTACTTTTGCTAGAATCTGTGTCCAAATTGATAGAAATTCTGAGCTTCCTGATGAAATTCCCATGGATATAGATGGGGAAGATTTTAACCTCAAAGTTGTTTATGATTGGAAGCCTACCAGGTGTGAGGGTTGTGGTTCTCTTATTCACCCTTTTGCTCTTTGCCCTTCCAATCCTACACCAAAACCTGCTATTCCTCCTCGGCCCCCTTTCCGCGGCAGGAGTAATAGCAGAAAACCTACAGGGAGGTCTAACTCTCAACTTACGGGGTCTGCTCCTGTCGTTCCTCCTTCTCTTCCTCCCTCTCTTCCCCCTCAAGAAGTTCCTCTAATATCCGATTCCATTCCTTCTGTTCCTCTGCCTTCCAATAATATTCCCGACAATAATGTTTTATCTGTTGTTGTTAACGCCACGACCCTGCCTAATCTCAACTTACCCAATGAAGAATCTTCCTCTTCCGATCAGCAGCTAGTTGGGAACATCTCTTCTAGTCCTGGCATTCCTAAATCCCTCATTCCACCTCAAGTTTTAATAGCTAACAGCTTCGCTTCTTTGCTTGCTGGAGATCAGGTTTTAGAGGAGGATGATAATATTGAGGAGGAGGGTTCCCTCTCCTCTCTTCCTTCTAATCCGCCTCCTCCCTCTACTAGCCCCAAAGCTTCTCCTTCCTCAACAAAAGCCACCACTTCCAAAAATCCTTCCCCTGCCAAAAAACCAAAAGGCAAAACGGCCAAAAAGGCCAAATCCAACAGATAATCATGTCCTTACCCCATATTGCTGCTTGGAACGTTCGGGGGTTTTCCCATCCCTCCAAGACCAAGATGTGCAAAGACCTTATTTCTGCGTTTAACCTTAAATTCCTCTGTTTACTTGAAGCCAAAATTCATCCCAACAACTCTAATGACGCTTGGTTCGCGCGCTCTCATGTTTTGTTCGAGAATGAGATGTGTTGTGACAACTTCCACTGCTCGACACCTGGTAGGATATGGGTGAAATGGGACTCTTCCTTGGTTTCTTTTACCCCGATCTTCTCTTCTGATCAACTTATTCATGGTTTGTTCAACTCGGGTTCGAGCCCGCCTTGTTTTATTTCAGTGATTTATGCTGCTAATCTTTATGAAGATAGAAAAATTTTATGGGCTAAGCTGTGTGAGCTCTCTGCTGGTATGAAGAGCATTGTGACATAGGCAGCATTCTGGCCTCATTTGGATTGATCTTCTTATCAGCAAATCAACAACCTTCAACTGACATCCAAGTGAAAATAGAATATCTAAGAGAATAATTCTTATGCCAAACAAATTTATGCCAAGTCACCTCCACCAAATGGGAATAATAAGAGGCCATAAAATCCTTAAACTTAGGATTAAAGGAGCCATCCCAGGCTAAAGCCAGTTGCTCCTTAATTTCCACTAAATAAATTTCATCACAAACATTGTCAGGAATTGATTTAGGAAGAACCCAAGTATTATCCCTGATGCAATCTTTAACAGTAAAACCAGAGAGCTGATTGGCAGCAGGCCAAATTTTCGCCAGTGCTTTCCCATTTAACCAAGGATCCCAATAAACAGTGGCGGAGCAAGGAAATTTATCAAGGGGGGGCCTAAATTAACTTAGTAAAAATTTTCCTCAACTTTTTTCATCCGGGCTTGGGACCGGCATAGGCAGTTTTAAAAATTTTTTATTAATAATTATCCCAAAACATATAATATTAAATACAAGATAGTAATGGTTTGGAAAATCATGACTACGCGGTTGAAATGGACCTCGTTGTAAATACAGTCTTCGAACTTCATCCCGAATATTAGGATTAAAATCAACAATAGGAATTCGTAGTCCTGGATCAGATGGAAGATTTTCAACGCTTACTTCTATATTGTTAGGTAAATCAGTTTCCACTCGAATGCGCTTTTCTTTATGATCTTCAACTTGATTGCTATTTTCATTTGATGTTTTTGAAACTGATGATCGTTTGAAATATCTCTCCATAATATTCCAACTCAAAGATGCCTTAACATTAATCTGATTATATATCTATTCAAAAAAAGGACCAAAATATAAAACTTATAGAATCAACCATATAAATGTAAAGAAACAAACAATAAAACTTATTAAATTTAACAAAATTAAATATATCTGGTCCTTTGAAAATTCCGGGCAAACATGAAAAATCCAAAAAAAAAAAAAATTTTCTTCAGATTTTTATAATTATCTTCTACCCAGAAAACTCAAAACATGAATGCATAAATCATAATTTAAATTAGAGACATCAGCTACTTTAGATTTAAGAACTTCTAAATGTTGAAAGTAAAAATTGATTCAGTGTCTCGGTGAAACCGTGAAATAGGTTTTTGTTAAAAAAAAATACCTCACGAGTCAGTAAGTCACGGCTTCCCAAGTTCCCAGTCGCCGCCGCTGCTCTCGGAGACTCAGAGTAAGACATGTCGCGGGCTCCAAGGCTCCAACCGTGGTCTGCCGCCGCCGGTCGGCTGCGTCGCCGGAGAAACGCGAAGGAACGGCGAAACTGCGAAAGAAAGGCTAGAGGCGGCATGAAGAAACGCGAAAGAGCCGGGACTTGTTTTCACAGAACGAATAGGATTTACTTAAACCTAAACTTATTTTTTATTTATTTAATCCCTATTTTTTTAATCATGGTGTTTAATTACTTCCTAATCCCGTTTTTTTTTTTTTTTTTTTTTTGGGGGGGGGGGGGGGGGGGGGCACGTGCCCCGGCCCCCTTGCCCCCCGTCCATCCGCCCCTGTCGATGACCACCACTCATTAGTATCGCCAGCCACCTACCACTGCGTCCATTACCCACTTACAACAACTGCAGCAAATTTCTAGCGAAAGCCACCACCCAGCAATGGTTGCCCTCTGTTATCAACTACCACTTGCCTCTATATAGTCATCATCGATTATTGTAGACCGTTATAAGCCACCGCTCATTGACAACCACCTTTAACCAGCACCCATTGTTGCCTACTACTAGACAGCATTGTTGTCGTGGGCTACTGCCAACCACTGCACCCCGTCACTCCATGTTATCCTTCGTTTCTATCGATGATAGCCACCATCAATTGCCATTACAGCAACCCAAAAAAGCCACTAGTTGATAGACTCATCATTGTCATTGTTTAGTTTTACACTGAATTAATTTTACATTAAATTAAAAGAAAAAAAAAAGTCTTTTTATTTATTATATACTCAACCAAATAACTCAAAGTTATTTTCAATATGCTATATTACTTCATATTGTATTTTTTTACCATCCATTTATTTTCATTAAAATAAATAAAAACTTTGGTAGTTTTTTTTTTTCACTTCACAATATTATTTTTGCATTCCTATGTAATTCGGATGTGGTTTTTCCTACCATATATATCATAATGTTTTTCAATAATCAGCAATCAATAATTAGTAATCGTTGGCTCGGTAAACAGAATTGTTACTATTTGCCCGTCAGCACAATAATAACTTCTTATAACCCTCAATCATCTTATCAAAGAATATTGAGATAAATATTTATATATAATGTAAGAGTGTGAAGACAAGCAAAGAATATTGAGAGAAATATTTATATAATTTCTTTCCATTTTTTATAACAGATTCCTCGTTATACTGACTCCTTAATTTTTTTCCTTTATTCGAGTTTTTAACATAAAATTTTCGTGTTCTTTCTCCCCTCTTATTATCTTGGCTGTTTCAATTGAACTATTATTAGGTCTGGTGACCAGATGTAGCTCTACGTTCGGTCACCACTGATTTACCTGGTATTTGCTCGGTATTGCTAAGTATTGCTTGACAATAACGAGAAATACCACTCTGTGAAGACCAATACTGAGTAAATACCGAGCAATACCGATTAATACCAAGTTTTTCTAGAAAAAACTCGGTACTGCTCGGTGTTGCCCGGTATTACTCAGTATTACTCGGTATTTACTCGGTATTTATCTTCACATAATGGTATTTCTCGTTATTATCGAGCAAAATCGACAAATATTAATACGTGATTTTGTGCCTGCTACGTGGCACGATCTCAGTGCCGGCCAAACGTAGCTCTACGTCCTTTCACCGCACCAAATAAAAACAAATGACATAGCTCTTTATTCGTAATGAAAATTTTCTAAATAACTTTCCCCATTATCACTCCACGATAACCACTAACCATCCTTTCCTCAGTAATTATGAAAATCATTAAGAGATAAAGCATCGGTCAGAAAGCCATTAATCAACCACATTAGACATTAAAACCCACCCAGATCGAGCATTTTATTAGATAACATGTGTCTTAATGGTATTTGTCCATGAAAAAAAATTATTATATTCCTTACTTTTTTTTTATGACGTTGACAAAAATAAAAATTTGATATAATTTTCTTCAAAACTTCGTACTTTATATTAAAAAAATTTAAAAATCTATAACTTTTTATTTTTTTTATTTTTATAGATTTAAAAATCAATTAATAAAATATATTATTTAAATTTTTAAGAAGGATTTACATGCATATCACTTTATTTCATATTATTTACATATCTAACAATCAAACTTTTAATATAACATTTCTATAATTTATATAAAATTTTCATATGAGATATATCACTCATATACTTCATTCTAAACATATTATAAATTTTAATATTTCATTCAATGCACTTATATTTGTTTAGGTGTGTAAATTTGGGATCACGGGTCGGGTTTGGGTCTCACTCGAAATTGACCCGACACTATTCAAGTCAACCCGAACCGACCCATTTTCTCAAACATGTAGATTTTTTTAAACATGAATCCGACCCGCTTCAGGTCCGGGTCGACCCAACACGACCCAAATGACCCTGTGCAAAAAAAAAATGTTTTTATGTGCAAAAACGGGTTAATCTCTCATTTTCGAGTAAACAACGGGTTAATCTCGGGTTGACGGATGAAAAAAATATTTTTGGTTCAAAACGGTTTAATTTCAGGTTAAGTGGTCAACCCGAACCCATCTCGTTCCAAGTTCGGGTTGATCCTAACCCGAAATTTTTGAGTCAAATTCGAGTCAAATTTTCAAGTCTTGTCAAATATAGACACTCCTATATTTGATCCATGAGTCATAGATATGTAATATTCTAATTTTAAATATTTAATATATAATTAGCATGAAACAAAGTGGTACTTGTAAATCCCATGATTTTTAAATGTTTTATATCACAACTTTAAAAGGGGAAATGAGTCAAAGCTTTGTCTCATTAAATTTTTTCTCGCAGTCACGCCACCTGTCGCCGGCAAAAGTAACGGCTGAAATTAGACTAAACTTTTTATTGCTAGTCTAAAGGAGCCCCATTGACCCACCCGCCTATCTATGCCATTTGTCAAGACCTGAAGCGTTTGGTAGAGTGGGTTAAACGTGGGTACGTTTACAGAATCTCAGGCCGTAGGTCCACTATCCGGAATTGAAAATGCAGTGCTAATCTAAGTCAGCTCATCAACCGCACTCTCATCAAAGTTCATATATGAGAATGCTTTAATGTCAATGTGAGTTCAAATTTAAGGGCAAATTATTGCATCAGGTCACCTGACGGAGAGATCCGTTCGGATCTCTCTCTGTCTATAATAAAGCGCAAGTAAAGCGCAAGTGTGCTACAATAACCTGCGCTTTACTGTAGACAGAGAGGATCCGAACGGATCTCTCCGTCAGGTGACCTGATGCAATAATTTGCCCAATTTAAGACATAAAAGTAAAAGTCATGGGATTGATTAATTATTATGTATGTATTTCGATTATGCCTCGTATTATTATGAATTATATCATTAAAATCACGAATGAGCAAAATTATCTTATGCAACTAAAGGAACCCGATTAAGCTCAAGCATAAGAGAAAAAAATTCCCCGAACGGCAATAGTCAGGACTCAAGAAGATGATCCGCATATAATTATTAAAAGAAACAATCAGACTTCTGGTTTCCTGAAGACCATCTAAGGAGCTGCCAGAGATATGGACCTCATCAATGTCTGTGGCTAATATAAAAATCCTTTCTAGCCAAAAAGAGCAGGAACTGGTCTGTGTAACTCATGTTTTCGTATTACAGATGACATACACAAAAATGAAGTCTTCTTAAAACATTTCCAAAATTTCGTAAGGCTTGTGAGTAAGGCTTCTTTGGGACGACTTTTTATTGTTTTTTAAAACATATTTTTTTTGACCTAAAATTTTATTTTAAGAAGCGATAAAAAAGTTTTCCTAAACGAAGCCTAAGTTCGAGCTTAATTAGCCCTTGATCTTGGATCAAAGAGCTAATAAGTCAAGTTTGAGTCAGCCTCAACTTTTCTGTAACCAGTAAGTTGGTTTGTTTGCAGTTCACCTTGGTCCATTGATTGGGAGCTTCAGATACCAACCCTGAGGTCTTGGGTCTTGGGTTCGAGTCTTGCGTATGTAACATATGAGTTCGAGTCTTGCCATAATTTTTTTAATCAACTCGTTTACACCTCAATTCCAAAGAATCTCACCCTTAGCTTGTGCTGATGCAGACCTAATATCATATGAGTCAAGTCATGTTGCCATAAAAAATCGGGTTCAACAAGTCACCAAAACACGAATCAATTCAAAAAAGTTTCAGAATTACAGAACAATCAAATTTATCTAAGACACTCATATCAACTCGCATCTGTGTTGAATTTGTTAGAATAAAAGTTATACTCACCTACAAAATTTCGGCACCTAAAGTTGTCCAGTTCATTAAACATGCTTGTCGATCAAGATTGAACTTGCTCAAAGAATTCACTATTGAAATCACATGGTTGACTGATTAATAATCTCATCAAGAGAATTTATAATTGATCTCTTGCAAGAAAATGCATTAGATAATTCATTGAATGTTGCTCAAAATATTGAGATACATAGAACATAATAAAAATAGGGTTTTAAAATTATGATGACTAGAAAGAAAATAAAAAATAATTAGTGATTAATTGCCCACCACCTACCATATCATGCCCTCATCTTCTAGAAAAAGGAAGTGGACCTTTTTTTTACTTTAATTCATAAAATATTGAGCGTCACAATATAAAGTTAATACATATAAAATTTATTCTCAAATTTATGAAAATAATATTAAGCAATTTTATCACCTACCTGAAGAAGTTAAGAATAAAATTTTAAAATTTATATGCTATCGCATGCATATATATTTGTATATAAACATTAAATATATATTTAATGAAGCTATTATTGAGCATTCAAAAAGTTTTATTTGTATTTTTCTTTTAAATATTAAATATCTTATATTATAAAATTTAATTGATCGAACTCAACTAAAGGGCCATTTTGGTTTGAGGATAAAATATTTTAAACATAATGTTTTTGAGAATATTGATGTTTTGTTTGAATTAAAATAAATGCAATGTAAAATTTTGATATATTTGAATTCATCCTCTAGGTTTTTTTTGTATATTTAGAGTTTTTATGAGTTTGGTGAGTTCCCAAAACACCATAAATTCATTGGAATTGATGTCATCGTCAAGCGCCTAGCCACATATCACCATCATCAGCCACCACAACCACCCATAGCCATCACCGATCACCACCACCGCAGCCTGTCGGCCATCACAACAACCGTCGACAATCACCGTTCATCATCGCCACCACCACTGCAAAAGTTGGCCACCTACTACCACCATCTTTTCAATTTAAATAACAATCATTTACTTCAAATGAAAAATAATTTCATATATATTATTTTTACGCCTAACAAAACAACTCCCAAATATTCTTTTTACATTATATTCCTTTAAAGTTTTCTTATTTTCAAATAACCAAATAGTTCCTAAAATCGAATATAAAGAATACTTTTTTTTTTTTTAACGGTCCTAATTATAATATTCTTAGAATAAAATTCAGTAATAACAAAGTACTTAGAACAAATTGGAGTCAGCCGCCACGTATACCCCTTCTCCTCATGGTGTGTGGCCCCCACCATCCACTCCACTATCACTGTCCCTTTCCCTCTCATTTCTCATGGCTCCTTCCTTCCTCTTTAAATCCCCTTCTCATGCCCTCGCTTCCCTTCCCCACCTGCAAACTTCCAAATCTCTCTCTTTCTTTCTATCTCTTCTCTGTCATCAGAAATGCAGCCGGAGCAAATTATTTCCAGCAATTCAAATCCGCAGTTACGAAACCCAGCTACAAATCGAAGCTCGAATCAATCCCTTCCCTCCGATGTAACTTCCCCACGTCCCCTTTCCCTCCATTTCCTCGACATCTCCTACCGCGTAAAACTCACCAAGAACCCTACTGCCGGCGGTCGGCTCAACACAATCCTTTCATCTCCGAATACTCCTTCTTCGCAAGAACGTTCAATCCTCGATGGAATAACCGGCACAGCCGCCGCCGGCGAGCTCCTCGCCGTCCTCGGCCCATCCGGCAGCGGAAAATCAACCTTCCTCACCATCCTCGCTGGCCGCAACATCCCATCCTCTGGATCCATTCTCGCCAACGGCCGTAAAGCCACCCGATCCATCTTCCGCCGGATAGGATTCGTTCCTCAGGACGACGTTCTGTACCCGCATCTCACCGTTATCGAAACCCTGACCTATTGCGCGATGTTAAGGCTTCCTGCTGATCGTGTGAGGGACTCGGTGGAAGGGGTGATGGGGGAACTAGGGCTGAAAGGCTGCGCGGAGACGATTGTGAAAGGAATTTCGGGAGGTGAGAGGAAGAGGGTGGCTATAGGGCATGAGATGTTGGTGAATCCGAGTGCGGTGGTGGTGGATGAGCCGACGTCGGGATTGGATTCGACGGCGGCGGGGAGGATAGTTGAAACTTTGGCCGGAATGGCGAGGAAAGGAAGGGCGGTGGTCGCGTCGATACATCAGCCTGCCAGTAGGGTTTATAACATGTTTGATTCGGTGATGTTAATGGCGGAAGGGAGATGCGTTTATCATGGGAGAGGAAGGGATGCCGTCGACTATTTCGCTTCGATTGGATTTGTCTCAGAGATTTTCGTGAATCCGGCGGATTTCATGCTCGACCTTGCCAACGGTGAGTCCCGTTTATATAGTACTAAATAAACTAAAAAAGTTTGTCAGAAAAATAAATAGAGATAATCTTATTATTTTTTTTATTAAATTGCCTTGAAAATAATTATATTTGATTTAAAAATAAACGTAATATAAATTTTATTTGATCATTCTTCTTAGAGTATAATGACCAATTTGTTATGATATATCTTATATTAGATATAATAAATTTAATTACTTAAAAATACCTTTTGATCAAAAAAAATAATATAAAAATTATTTATTAAAATTTTTAAAATTATTGCCATGATTTAAAATTGAAATTTGTATTTCAACTCATTTTTTTAAATATATATATTTTGTGTAAAACTTAGATTTTTAAAATCTAAGGCATCGCCATCGTGATTTATGCATGAAAAGTATCATTTTGAAAATATGTGCATGTTCACATGATTTCATGCTCATGAACTTCTAGAACTCGTTAATCATCTCTGTGAGTATAATAATATTAATATAAAATTATCGAGTGAAAGCGAATTTAGAGATGAACGTCGAATAATTTAGGCTGGACCTATCCTAGAAAAGTAAACTTTATTAAATTAATTAATCCTGACTAAGGTTTTATTTGAAATATTTTTTTTTATATTTTATTTTTTAGATAGCAATTATAATTTAATTTGATTATTTTTCTTTTTCAAATTTTTTTTAGAAAATTTGTGCTAGAAAATTATTTTTTAAATTAAAGCAACTAAATTATTTTAATAATAATAATAAAAACATTACAACCGTCTCAAATAAATTCTAAAATGATGTACGTATTAAAGTAGTAAATTAATTTCTTTGTACGTATTAAAGTAGTAAATTAATTTCTTTCAACCAACATTCATTTTTAATTGATGTGAATATTCTAATCATGATTAGGCTCTAATTTAAACTTAAAATTATTAAATTTTCTTCTGAATTACAGTAATATATAATGAACTTATTAAAAATTATATTCCACCATTTAAAAGAAAATGGAACCACTTTTGGTTACATCATGACTTGAATTTTATTAAGGATATGGTGATCTAACTTTTCCTTTAAAAGGCGCATCTAAATGAGAACACCTGGCTGAGCTATTTGTTAGGAGGAACAATGGCCACCGAACTATTTAACACACGTCGCCTGCTCTGCGGACAATTTAGCCTTTCTGTTTAGTTATTTCGCTTCGTGTTGCTTTTCTTCTCTCTGCTTTACAAAAGGAGATGACCACATCGCATTTCCTCATCCACTACAGCAACAAGGACCACATATCACCATCCTTTCCAATATACTTGTTCTTTTTCCATTTGAAGCCGGGGCCGATCAAGCCTTAATTTTTAGGGGGAGAGGGGGTAAAAATCGTAGAGATTTTTTCCCCTCTTGAACTTAGCTTGACCTCTATTTGTTCATATTCTTGATCATTGTACGCTTCGCTGATATGTGGAAGGTCCAAAGGGCAGCGCCCCTGGCGGGATTCAACTTGCGGGGGTTTGAAAGAATATTTTTTAATTCTCTTTACTATTTATCTTTGTATTTGATTTATCATTTGATTTAGACCTGTCAATTTCGGGTCACGGGTCGGGTTCGGGTCGAACCCGGAACTGATCCAGCACTATTCGGGTTCGGGTCAACCCGACTAGTTTTTGCAAACGGGTCAATTTTTCGGACCCGAACCCGACCTGCTTCGGGGGCAACGAGCGGGGGTAGGAAAATTCAAAATTTTTTAAAATAAATTGGTTTCTAGGTTGACCCGGCAACCCGTCGCTGGTTGAAGCCCCTCTTAGGTTGGTTGTTGGGTGCTTTAGCTCCAATCACAAGAACTTGAATTTGAGATCTAACATATACTATGAATTTACAATTAAATTCACACAAAAAATCTCCTATGTTTATTATTTTAGAAATATTACCAGCCAAAATTTGAGATTGAATTTTTTTTTGGGCTAAGATATAGTCATCCAATTTTGATTTATTTTGAAATAAGTGTAATACATATTATATGGATTTGAAACCATCATGACCAAACTTTTGGCCATTATATTAGAGCCAATTTCTTTCTTTGAGCATTAGTTTAACTGATTAATTGAACTTGAGCTGATTTGAGTGAATTAATTGTTGTAGCAGAAACAATAAAAAAAATAAAATATAAATATTTTTAAAACTTTATCCCTAAATGCTTGAATTCTAATACCATTATATTTGATGATGCAGGAGTCAGCCGAGTAGACAACCATGCAGACACAGCAGACAAGGCTCGTATCAAGCAATCTCTCATATCCTCCTACAACAAAGTGCTTGCCCCTAAGGTGAAGGCCTCAGTGAATTCTTCTATTGCTGCATCAATGGCTTCAGCTGAATCTCTGAGAATAGGTAAATAAATCATCTAATCAATATTAACTCATATATCCTGTAATCAGAACTTTAACTGATATTATAAGGCATTTCAACTAACCAGGTAGTGAAAGAAGTGGTGAAAAGGAAGCAAAAGACTTCACTAGAACCAGCTGGCTCAAACAATTCTCCATACTCATTCGTCGTAGCCTCAAGGAAAGGAGGCACGAGACCTTCAACTCGCTTCGTGTCTTTCAAGTCATAGCTGCTGCATTTCTCGCTGGTTCGATGTGGTGGCACTCAAGCATTCGTAATGTACAGGACCGGCTCGGACTGCTCTTCTTCATCTCCATCTTCTGGGGCGTCTTCGCCTCCTTCAATGCCGTATTTACTTTCCCGCAAGAACGAGTGATTGTTAACAAGGAGCGTGCGTCTGGAATGTACTCCCTCTCATCGTATTTCATGGCGAGGATGGCCGGCGATCTGCCCATGGAGCTCATTCTCCCGACCATCTTTGTTCTCATCATCTACTGGATGGCTTCGCTTCGGCCGGAGCTCGGAGCTTTCTTGTTAACCATGGCGGTGATCTTAGGCTATGTGCTTGTAGCGCAGGGACTTGGGCTGGCAATTGGAGCTGTTATCATGAATGCTAAGCAGGCATCAACAATTATTACTATAACAATGCTTGCTTTCCTTCTCACTGGAGGATTCTATGTGCAGAAAGTTCCAATCTGCATGAAATGGCTGAAATATACATCATTTACTTTCTACTGTTTCAGACTACTAATTGGAGTACAATATAGAGGAGATGAGATTAGTTTCTACCAGGGTTTATCACATAATCATGAAAGGATTAGCAGCAGAGAGGCTGAGGTAGAAGGCCAGGTCAGTATAATGGTGAGCATTTTGGCTTTGATTATGATGTTTGTTGGGTATAGGATTCTGGCATATGCAGCACTGAGGAGGATCAAAATATAAGCATATAATAAAAAGCAAAGGATTTATCATAATTGAATTAGAATTAGCAGAATCACTGGCTTCAAATTTCTTTTTGACCAGAGAATAAAGCTTTGGCTTCTTAGCTAATCTTAACAAGTCAAAAACAAGAATGGTTTCTATCAGAGAATATGAACCTCACCTTAAGCACTGTTACTGTAAGCCTTAATTCAGCTCTGAAACTAAAAACTGGCCAGCCACATTATTTACATTAATAGCTCCTATGTAAAGATATGTAAAGCCACTGTGTATGCATAGAAAGTTATGCAAGGAGTAGAAATTTTCTGAGACATGGTGGTGGGTAGTTTTGATTGAATATGGGAAGTAGAGAAGCAGATATGTCAAAAGTATGTTTCCTTCGAGCTTTGGATGATGGAAGAAAATTATACTTATATTCTAAGCATGTTTAAGGGGTTCCTTGTTCTTTTTTATAACTTCGCTTTCCAAATAATTGCTACACTTACGTTTTGACCATAACTTATTAGTTTCAAAAATAATTTCTGCTGAGCTTTTTACAAGATCTGCTGGTAGAAAGATGTTAACTGACTTTTTACAAAAATTAAAAAACTCATACCAACGATTATATAACTTACAAAAAATATTTCTCATAATGATAATCCAACTCTTTTTACTGATGAATGGCATAGTTAAAGCAGTTATCAAACCAAACTATGCCTTCTGAATTCGTTTCACTTGCTGCACATTCAAATTTAATATGCACTATGATAGGGAACAATTGAAGATTTCAAGTAAATCATATCAATTTAGTAAAAACAGCGAGTAAACTCTTCCAAACTCCAATGAAAATCAGAAAAACAGTAGTTTTTATTGCAATAATTGAATATACGGTAGGAAAATAGCAAGATACAAGTGATCCTCTGTTCCAGAGGAGGATTGATCTCTCCCAAATCTCTAGACGCTACTAGAGCCCAAGAAAACCCAAGGGATCTCAAATTTCAACCAAATTCAAGATGCCCTAATCCTAGGAAAACAAACTATTTAATGCATGCAAATCAAAAGAAAATCACTAAACAGTCCCTACATTCAAATTTCCCTCCTAACTCCCTAAAAAATCTTTCCTAAATAGCTCCCGTACGCTCGGTCATGTGTTTGGCGCATACAGGAGGTGGAAATCTCTGCCTCGCAGACCGGCTGGACCGGTCTAACAATACTCCCCTCCCAAAGATCCACCTTGTCCTTAAGCTGCAACGAGCAAAACTACTGTTGAAGTATAACCAATAGCACTGGACTGATATTGGGTCGAACGATCCCTTCCTCCAACATCTCCCTAATCAATCTCTCGAGCTCATCCTTCTGGATTTGGGAATGACGATACAGATGAACACTGAGAGATGAAACTACTTCCTTCAAGATGATAACATGCTTGTGTTCCCGTGAATGAGGCAAACCCTGAGGCGACTGAAAATTCTCACTGAATTGCTAAACTCAATGATTTTACTGAAAGAGGAATGTCCCTGCTCTCCTCCAATATGATCCCCTCCAGCCTATGTAGTTCCATCAGATAACTATCCCCCACTTCATGTGTGTTGCTCACCTTGATTTTAAATGATATCATGGCCTTGGTGAGCCATGCATCTCCCCTGACCACTATCCTTCTCCCTTTCACCATCAGCTCTATCATCAATTCTCCCCAGTTGACCTTTGTGTCCCCTAAGATCTACAGCCACTTCATCCCCAGGATGACAATAGTGCTCCCTAACTCCAATGGGAGAAAGTCCTCCCTCACCTGAACTCCCTGTATGGTCAATACTACTCCATTATATATCCCCTGACCTGTCTCCACCTTCCCTGTACACATCATCACTCCATAACACCCTATATCCACCAATGTTATCCCCAATTGGTCCACGACCTAATTGGAAATGATAAGGGTAGCCCACTGTTAATCAACACCACCACCTCCCTGTTTGCTATTTCTCTCTTCACCTTCAGGGTATGTTTCAGAGTGAATATCACCACTGAATTCAAGGAGACCTCTATCACGTCTAGATCTAGCTTGTCCTCCCTCTCTCTCTCTCTCCCATACTCTCACATCCCTCAGTTTTCTCGTCATCATAAATGGTGAGAACTTGAAGAGTTCGATCCCTACACTTGTGCCCTGGAGTATACTTCTCATCACATCTAAAGCATAGTCCCTTTCGCCCTCTTCTCTTGCATCTCCCTTTTCGTTAGTCTTTTGTAGTTCCTCCCACTTCCTCCTCTTGTTGGATTCTCCTTGGGAGTCTCATTAATGTTGCCTGATGTAGGTCCCTTGGGTGCTAAAAGAGTGGTCATCATCCTATAGGAGCCTCCTGAGATGCTGCTTCTGGCTCCCTTCTCTAGATTCTTCTGATTCTCCATCAGTTGTGCCAACATCATGGCCTTTCCCAAGTCACGAGGCATTATGACTTTCACCGCCGCTCTGATTTCTGCTTTGAGCCCCTTCATGAATTTTTTCTCCAATGCATTCTCTGATAATTGCTCCACTTGACTGGCTAGGTGCTCGAACTACTCCAGGTAATCTACCATTGATTTGCCCTGTACTAGTGCAAAAAACTGCTAATAAGTCCCCTCCACCATTGATTTGGAAACATTCTAATAAATAGTCTTTGAAGGCTCTCCAACTTCGTATAGGTCTCCTTTGGTCCCTCCATTGGAACCATGACGACACCTTCCCCTCCAAACATAGGCATGCTGCAGTCAGTTGCTCCTCATCCGTCACCCATTAATGGCGAAGTACTGCTCCACTTTATAGATATATCCATAAGCATCCTTCTCTTAAAAAAATGGCATCTTCAACTTTTGCATCTTTTGATCTCCTCAATTTTTCCTTATTCCTCCATAGTTTCCCCTTACCCAAGTGCTTGACCCTCCTTAAGTCTCCTGATCTTCCCTTTCCCTTTCATTTCAATACCCTCCTTCGAATTCCCCTCTTCTCCCTTCAAAATCAACAACTCGGCAGCCATAATTTCCATCAATATGCTCCCAATCAGCACCCCTTTGCTCCTACCCTCCATACCCATGCCTTTCCCCAAACCTACCTCTCTATCCTCCCTCTGGAAAGGCTCCAGATGGGGTCTTCTCCCTTCTCCCTCTATGATTTCCACTTCGTCTTCGTTCTTACGAATTTTAGAATTCGTATTCTTTCCTTTTGGCCCCTTCACGCATGAAGCCGCCGATTGGTTGTGCATTTCCAACATCTTTTTCATCATATCCCGTAAATCAGCTACTTGCCCTTCAATGGAGAAAATTATGTCCTCCACCGTCGTCTTTATCTGATTCATCTCCCCTTTCAAACGTCCCTCCAGTGCGTCTACCTTCTTGGCCGCCATACAAAAATTCTGATTTTGCTCCAAAAATAAGCAACGTTCCTTCCTTCGGATGAAAATTTTGCCACTAAACTTTCAAAAAATCAGCCTCCTGATGGTCCAAATACTTGCTCTGATACCAATTTAATAGGAAACACTTGAAGATTTCAAGTAAATCCCATCAATTTCGTAAAAACAGCAAAAAAACTTCCAAACTCCAATGAAAATGAGAAAAAAACAGTAATTTTTATTGCATTAATCAAATATACGGCAGGAAAATAGCAAGATACAAGTGATCCTCTGTTTGAGAGGAGGATCTATCTCTCCCAAATCTCTAGACGCCGCTAGAGCCCAAGAAAACCTAAGGGATCTCAAATTCAACCAAATTCAAGATGCCCTAATCCCTAGTAAAACAAACTATTTAATGCATACAAATCAAAAGGAAATCACTAAACAATCCCTACATTCAAATTTCCCTCATAACTCCCTCAAAATCTTTCCTAAATAGCTCTCGCACACTCGGCCGTGCATTTGGCGCTTACAGGAGGCAGAAATCTCCGCCTCTTGTTCACGTAAGCCAATCCCGTTGGACCGGCTGGACCGGTCTAACACACAACACATAAATATTTAGGTTTTGTTTGGGACATCTTTCTTACTGTTTTATAAAGCTACTTTTTAATACAAAAATCTATTGAAAGAAGAGGAAAAAAAGTGATCTAAAGCTATCCCAAATGAAATCCAAATGAAACCTTAGCAAAGCAATAAAAGTTTTTGCGATGGTGTGCTCCTCTTGATAGAAAAAGTTCCGCTGTATAAGCAATAATTCTTCTTCCTGCATTTGTTTTTGGCATAGACACTGATGCCTATGCTAGCATGAAATACCTGCCTAGTGCCAACATGGATGAATGTTTACCTGGCATGAAAATGCAAAAAAGATGAATTAAAAAATAAGAGGAATTATATGCATAACACAAATCTGATATATTTATAAAACTAATAACTATCATTTTTTAACCATTGAAAATGAGAATCTGAGATAACAAAGTGTTAGTTTTACTAATAGATAAATATTAAGTTTTATGCATATAATCATTCTAAAAATATAAAAAATAACAAAAACAACTCTCGTCTTAACAAGAAGGTTTTACACTTTATTTCCAGCCCAAAAGGCCAAACAAGCGGTAAAATGTTCCCAGTAATTAATTAGAAGTCCATATATGATATCTTCAGAGAATATGAGGAAACAGCTTAATAAGTTATTCACTTTGATTTAGGCTCTGAACTCTGAGACAGCTCAAAGAAGGGTGATCAGCGTGTACTAGATTAATCCATTTGACAAGTTTTGGTAAACCCCTCAGCAACTTCGGACCTGACAATCCTCAAATGATCAAAGGTCTGTATCATGGATTCAGCTAACCTACAAGGCTACAACAAGCACTGGCGTAATATTCATGCCTGAGTTAGAATGGCTCTCAAACTGTCCTTAGTGAGGCAAACGCGTGTTTCAGTAGGCTTAAGCTTGGTTGACCTAAATAGGCCCTGCTGACTCCATATGGTTTAAGGTTTCATTTCTTATAGTTTTCTTACTGCTTTTTAAAACAAATTTTTTAAACAAAAATTTTTAGTTTACGAAATGTTTATACTAAAGCAGAAAGTTAAAACATTTGCCAAATAAATCAGTTCTAGCTAACCCTAGGAATTTTGAACAATGAAATCTTGGCCATTGAGCAAGAATGTGGACCAAGCCTATACAACTTATAGTAAATATTGATCAAGCTAATTGAACTAGGTCTAGATCCTAGAGGTCACAATTAAACCAAGTTGGTGTAGACATACAATGATTTAGGTAGCCCAAATCACAACCGACCATTGTTCAACCCAATTGATCAATATAGGACAACTTCTATGGCTATGTACAAACTAGGAAGCCCAGGGTATGTTCAAAATTGAGTCATAGGGATTAATTTGGTCAAATTGCAAATTTGACTCACTAAACTAGACCATAAACACCTAATTAGCTCAATTAACTGTTAGGAAATGGATGCAATTTTTTCGAAATCAGTGAACAACAATAAAAAATTAGGAAGAAAAACACACCAACACTATTTTTATTACAATATATATGAAATAAAATAGCAAGATACAGTTGGATCTTCAATTCGAGAGGAAGATCCGGTTATCCCAAATCCCTAGCTAGGGCTGCAAACGAACCGAGTCGAGCCGAGTATGTGAATGTTCATGTTTGTGTTCATTTAATATCAGCTTGTTCAAGTTTGGTTCATGTTTGTTCGAGCTTTATTGTTTGTGTTCATGTTTGGTTCATTTAAATTAATGAGTGTTCATGTTCGGTTCATGTTCAGTTCATGTTCGTTTATTTAATGTTCATCGAGCTTGTTCGCGAACATATTTAACGAATTTTTTCTAACTATCAATAAAAAATCCCAAATCCCTAGCTATTGGATAGAGCCCAAATAACCTAAGAAATTCTAATTTCAATAAACTCCAAACATAATCTGAAATCACCCCATAATTAACCTTAAGTAGGCTCCTATAATTCCCTCCCAAATAATTCCTATCAAATGTCCAACTTAGTTCTCCCTAACAATTAAGTCATCTAATGTGTTCTTCTGGGCAAATAAATATGATTGGGAGATCCTTTAGAAAAAGAGAAAGAGAGCACGCCACATAAGGGGGGTTTTCTACAAACTTATCACGGGTAATATCAATGTTGTGAATAACAAAATAAGAATCTAAAGGACCTAAAACCTAATTAAAATCTAAACAAACTTAAAAGAACCCTTAAAGCTCAAAGAATGAACTAAATAAAGCCAATTAATTGATGTTGTAAACTTCACCTCATCATTGAGCCCCAGTGAAGTATACCACCATTGCCATTTCCAGACGTTAGCTCCATCTCCTTGTTCAATCCTTGAGCAGACAAAGCTTTAAAAAAGCCTTTAAATTAAACCTAAAATGGCTCGATTATTTAACTAGTTTAATCTATTAATTACAGCTTGAAGACAACGTACAAGTGACATTAGATCATCATCTAATGACCTTGATAACTCTCCTCTATGTAGCCATTGGATCTCTAATGGACAATTAGGATTAAAGCCAAAAAGAAGATCCCCTCAACACATACATGCTTGCACAAGCACTCATCCTCCAAAATCTATCCTGTCGAACAAGGATCAAACGGTGATGATACCATACACTTGTGAGGACAAATCTTGACCCTTGATCAAACATCAACAATCTTGACATAATTTGTATGTCTTTAAGATCCCAAGCAAAAATATTGTACAGTGGATCAGAACACAAGTTAGCTGCATGACTTAAATAGAGCCATTTATGATAGACTTATTTAGAATATCATATGATCAAATGCAGGAAAAACTCACAGCCCACAACTTCACCTACCCCACTTGTAGCCACCTTCCACTGGTCAGCGCCACCGCTCAACGATGTTGTCACCACTGTTGTCTCTCAACACTCCATGCTACTTCCCGCCGCTGGCATTTAAAAGCCAAATAACTCATGAATTTCTAAAATGCATACATTCTAATAACTCTGTCTCTAAAATGCAAACATTTTAAAAACATCCAACCAAATGGTGCCTAAATGCACAATAAAATTAATTTTTTTTCTTATTTACAAATATACAACTTCATCTTTTGATCATTTTAATAAAAAATCTAAGGTTTCATTGAAAACATGAATAATAATGACATAATAATAAATTCAGTCATCTTTCATCCCATGCATCTATAAAGTGGAGGGGTAGTTAGGTCATTTGGTGAACAAAAAAGATACACTTTAAATTCGATAAGAAAAAAAAACATGAAATGAAACAAATTTTAATTAAGAATATCATAGTATACTTATAGACATCATGCATATCATCCATTTGAAAAGTTGAGGGACAATTAAGGAGTGTTTGTTAAGTTTAAGATTTATAACTTTAAGGAGAGATGACAAACAATTGAAGAGTCTTTCGTCAGTTTGAAAGTATAAACCATCAATAAAATTATTACAATTGCACCTTTTACTGCTAAGGTGCACCACCATTATTTGCTCCATCACCAACAATTGAAATTGAATGAGAGACGGAGTAGAATACATCAACCTACAAAATAGAATCCATCAACAAGGAGAAAGGCTAAGACAAGTACATATAGTAGAGAAAGAGATTTCTCTTTGAAGGTAGAAGTAAAGTTTGAGTTGTCATACACTCGTACTCCAATGAAACAATCAAACCTATGGTAATTTACAATTGATTTGAGTTTCTAGAAATGAATTTTATAGTTTATGATTATGCTAATATATTGGGTCTATTGTTCAGAGTGATGATGAAATAGATGGGCATATTATTAACAAAATTCAAGTTGGATGGTTGAAATGGAGGAATGCATTGGGCTTGTTGTGTGATAGAAAAGTCCCCCTCAAACTTAAGTGAAAATTCTATAAGATGGTGGTGAGACCTGCAACACTTTATGGTGCAGAATGTTGGCCATTAAAAGAGAAGCATAATATTAAGTGTTGTAGAGATGAGGATGCTTAGGTTAATGAGTGGCTTTACTCTTAGAGATGGGATATGAAATGAGCATATACATGAAAAGGTTGGAGTAGCTCCAATGGAAGATAAGATTAGAGAGAGTTGCCTTAGATGATTTGGTCACATAAAATGCCGGCCTTCCGATGACCCGGTTAGGAAAGTAGATGTATTAGATTTGGTTTATGTTAAGAAAGTTAGAGGTAGACCTAAACAGTCTTGGTTAGAAATATTAGAAATGACCTTTCTTTTTTAGCTTTAAATGAGAATTTGACCCTTAATAGGACACAATGGAGAAAAATGATTCATGTAGCCGACCCAACATAGTGGGATAAAGGCTTAATGATTTTGTATGATTATGCTAATAAAAAGAAATTTGTATTTGCTCATTTGAAGTTGTCATTGCATTATTTACTGTGGTAAACTTTACAATTTAAGAACTATCATCTGCCAATATGGCATTATTAGAATTTTAAAGATCATTTAAAACTCAATTTTACCTTGTTGGATATGAAAAAGAAAAATGGACATGCCAGAAGAATTTGAAGCAAAATAATGCAAGTGCTATAGAAATTTCATTGAATGAAAAAAAACAAAACTTATTAAAAAATAGGTAGCATGTCTTCATAAAAACCTTTGAGAATTAAAGCTTTTCCAACTATTGTTGTCCTTGATGCTAGCATAGATGTTGTTGAACTTCAGGAGAAAGGTAAGCCCTCTTTCTATCAGACAACAAGCACATGTTGCAACTATTAAGAAGAAATGAAAGGCTCAAGTTTTGGCTACAAAGGAGCAATGCATTAAAATAGGAGGATAAAAATAAAAAGACCCTCACAACCATGTTAATAAGTAATTGAAGTAGTGATAAAAGCAGATCTTGTATTATCCTTGATGTTACATGCGCATGCTCGTGAAAAAATTAGGAACATAACTTTTTTAGAACAAAAAGGCTTTAGATGAAATCTACCCTCACCGATACTATTTTGGATCTAGGTAGTGAACATAACTTATCATTAAAAGCTTTGGTTGAGAAACAACGGTTAATCTCTACTAACATAGAGTTAGTCACGATTAAACCTTATAATAAGGTGGCCAAGTTTCAAATGCAAGACATAATTAATGTTTTAAGATATGTTTCTAAAAGGGGCAAATTAAAAATCTTTAGTTGAACCAATTATGATTGTTGTATAACTTTTAAGATTGACACAGAAAAAAAATCATAATATGAAAACTTGGTGGCGAATAGATAAGGAAAAAAAGGATTATTAAGAAAAAGAAATACTCTTTTAAAAGTTGGCATAGCTTGAATACAGTTGAGGATGAGAAAGCTAAAACTCTTGAAAAGAAGGTAGTGAGTAAATCATAAGCTATAATTTTATGATTTGTAATAGAATAGGTAATATAATAAATGAGAATATGAGAGAAGTTGCAAAATTACTAAATTAGGAAGGATAAATTGATAAAAGATAATACTAAAGCATAGATGTCAATGGCGCAAAATAGCGCGCGCCATGGCACACTGCGCGGCGCGGCGCACTGCGCGGCGCAACTATGGCGTCATGTGTATGGCGCGGTGTAGACATTCAAAATTGAGCGCGCTATTTGTGCGCCATGGCTCACGGCGCAAAATAGCACGCGACATTGTTTTAAATTTTTTTTAATGTAATTATAAATATTTTTTATATTTTTAAGATAATATATTTTCTAATTTTTAAATATATTAAAAGCGTTAAGATAAATATTAGATTGCATATTTTTATCTTCTTAATGCTATTTTCTTTCATTTTAATATATTTTTGTTGAATGAAGATTGAATACTTATTGGACTCGAAATTGTTAGATACCGATTGAAGGATAATCTCATTGGAATTTATTGTATGAAGTCATATATTTGATGGAGAACATGAAAGTTGAAGCGACTTTTTTTAGTAATTGACTTGATATGATTGTGACTGAAGTTATATCTTGATTGGACTTGGTAATTTTTTTAGCATGTTAGTTAACTAGTAGATAGTTTTTAGAATGTAGAAGGATATGTTAGGATAGACAAACATTCCACAAAGTATAACAAGGTTATCTTTTAAAATAAATTGCTTTGGTGATTGTTTGAGTAAATTATTTGGATTGTTATTTATTTGTATTGTCATTGTTTGCTTGTTATTATGATAGTTTGTCTTTCAGTTTAATGATATTTCATATTCATGTTTATTATTTTGTAATTCTTGTATAATTTGCGTCATGTTCAAAATGGTGCGCGCCACGCCATGCGCTATGCGCCGTGGCTCCAATGGGACCTTTGCGCCATGGTGCGCCATTCACTGTTAACAAGTATGTACTAAATATAAGATGATTGAAAATAAATACAAGTGGCTTGGACATGTAGACCAAATGTTAAAAAAAAAGTGTCAGTCATAAGAGTTGATATAATTAGTGTTAGACAATCGGAAAAAAATGTGTAAACCTACGGTTACATGGATGGAATTTTATGATTTACAAATAATAGATATAATATCTTAAATACCGCTAAGTAGGAATGGATAAAAAAAATGAAAATTGAGAATTCATAATACCTCTAAAAAGTTAGGATAGAGCTAATGATTATGATGATGCCTCAACCATATTCATTATGGATGCATAGTTCATGATGAGTTTCAGGGATTTTCATTTGGTGATTACCTCAAAATTCTATAGGAAAAAATAACTAAATGTTTATAATTTCAAATTCTGAAAATAAAATGCATAAACTTGATTTGTTTACACCACTAGTTTACCTGGTGAGATTGTAACCCTCACTGTATCTTCAATAATATCACCAAGAAATGAACATGTTTTGTATTCCAATTATGAATGAAAAAAAGAAAGCGGCACATCATACAATATGTAGTGCATACCTCAGGAGTAAACTGACGTATAGGGAACATGATGAGATCCAGCATGAAACCTCGGGTAAAGGAAACTCTTCTGAATAAAACAAATATCTTGAATTCACATACTCCCTCTGTTCCTCAATCATCAAGGAGATGCAAAAGAGCTGTATAATAATCATCTTTGACAAACACAAGCTTATCAAATTAGCAAAGATTTTTATACTGTGAGTACTGAATCACCGCATAAAGTCCCCAATGCTGCCCCACTTAAGCACGAAACACAAAATAACCTCGTCAAACTCTACGCCCCATTCCAAAACACTCCGCTCCTCAATTCCTCCATCGTCCAGAAACCCATCAATCTTCATTGCCCTGAGAACTCTCACAACATCACTCAACAAGCGATTCTTGCAGTATACGCCAATAAGAATCCTATAAAAACCCAAATCCGGAAGAACACCCATCACCAGCATTCTCCCAAAGAGAGCATTGCACCCCAAAACCTTGCCTTCCATCCCCATCCGGCCCATCAGCGTCGAGAAAGTAATCACATCGGGCAAAACCCCCATATCCACCATTTCCAGAAAAAGTCGAAACCCACCATCGACGCTGCGATGGTCACAAACGGTTACGATCAGAGAGTTCCAGGTCTCAGCATCGGCCGACACGCCGCTTCGCCCCATCTGCGCCACCAGCTCCTCTGCCTCCTCGACGTCCCCCCGACGGCAGTATTTGCGTACAAGTCCGGCGAAATGGCGAATCTTAAGTGGAAACCCTAGTTTATCGGGGACAGCGAAGAGTATAAGTGAACGGGCAAGGCTTAGATGGTCGGAGCGGATGATAAATCCGAGGAGAGAGGAGAAAGCGGAAGCGGAGGGTGAGGCGGAGAGGAGCAATCTGGCGGCGGAATCTGAGGGAATACCGGCGGTGAGCGCTGAGGAAGCGAGGGGGAGCAGAAGGGAGGATCCAGGGCAGAGCCCGGTGAGTGGGAGCCGTCGTAGGAGGATCTCAGTGGCACGAATTCGATGGTGTCGAACAAGGAAGGGGAGGAGAGACACGTACGTGGGGAGTTCGTGGCGGAAGCCACGCTGCCGCACAGCGGCGGTGAAGAGCGACAGGACTTTCTTGGGGTTGGAGTTTGGGTTCGCAATGGCGCGGAGGATGGAGGCATTGGAGATTCGCTGGTGACCGCCGCCGGGTTTCGGACGCGGGGAATACGGAAGGAGCCATGGGAGGCGGGCGCGCGAGGACGAGATAGCTGGCTTGGATGGACTCATGATGTGAGTCAGTGTTACCATATTATTTTCATTTTTAATCGTTTATCCATCCTAAACTTTATGTCAAATTTCTTTATCATGGGAATATCAATGGAAAGAAGTTGCATTTAATTTCCTGGATCAGCACTGTTAGGTTGAAGCATTTTGGTGGGCTCGGTATCCCGTCCATTGAGGCCTTGTATTTTCTTGTATCTGGCAACTCTACCCTGTTTAGTAATTGGGTTCGGGCTAAGTATGGCTCCACTTGGAGGCCCCCTCCCATACATGCCTCCAAATTCTAGAAAGTGCTCTGCAATACTGCTAATTCCATTAGATCGTTGATCAATTTTGTTGTTGCTCCACATTGCAATTTCTATATGTTTTGGGACCTGTGGTGTAGAGGGCAGGCGTTGGCTGATTTAACGGATGTTCGAAGTTGGCCTAAAACCCCTATCAGAGATTTCATCTATCCGGATGATTGGTCTCTCCCAATTTCCATCCCTGAACCTATAAGACGGATTATTTATGATGTTAACATACGGGAGCAACCAGAGCTTTCCTTGGATGGCTCCAATTTTCCTTCCTTTAAACAGTTTTTGTAGGTTTTTTATTCTCAGTCAAACAAAGTCTCTTGGGATAAATATATTTGGCACACGAATTGCTCTCTTAAATTCTCTTGCTATGGTTGGATGGTGGTATTAGGCAAGCTTAAAACTGCTGATACTCTCTTGTCTAGTGGTCTTTATGTTGACCCCTTATGCCCCTTTTGCCGGGTATCTCAAGAATCACATCAGCACTTCTTCTTTGATTGCGATTTCTCATTTATGGTCCTCACTGGTTTGCTTCCTCTTTTTAGATCTTTTCTATTGAGGCCAAACATCCTTCATGTTTTTGAATTTATAGATGGGCTTGTTCATTATAACTTAACTGAGAAACTGTTTTGTTTCTTTCTTTTGAATTGTGCTATCTATTTTTTATGGAGAGAAAGAAACAATCGTTGTTTCTCTAGTTCATGGTGTAATCCCTCCTTTATTATCATGGAGATTAAAATTGATTTGATGGCTAGAGTTAAAAGGTGGAAATATGCTAACAAGCTCAAATCGAAGTTCGATGGATTGTTTTATCCACCTTTGGCTACATCTGTTTTGGTTTTGGTTGTTCTGGACTATGATGAAGTGGGTTAACCCAGGCGGGTTTTATTCTGCTGACGCTTGCTCCCATTGTGATGGTCCGGTGCTTACCAGTTCTTGTGCTTGGCAGGCCCATGGCAACCTGGGTTCAGTTTTTCCTCCGCCTACTCTGTCTCATGATGATGAATTTGTTTTTGGGGTTAACTCACTAACCTGAGTCCTGTTTTTGTCCTACTCCCCCCTTTTTGTGTGGTGTTTTGGGTTTTTCTTTCTCTTAATAACCTTTGCTTTTTGGGTTTCCTTACTTGTAATCTATTTTTGACTTAATATATGGGATGTCGCCCCAATTTTACCAAAAAAAAAAAAGTTTATTTATTATCTCTGTCAATGTTTCCATTGATAATGTACTCATTATCATAAATTTTCTTGGGGCTATTTAATTGACTAAAAAAGAAAAGTTGTGTAAAAAAATTCGGTATAAAATAAATGTCATATAAAAATATATATTTTTTTTAATTATTTGAATGAGTATAGTAAATAGAGGCAAATGATTCTTTTTTATTTGAATTTGAAGTAGATAAATATAGATGATGGTTAGCGGTGAGTGGCGTCGATCGGCGGCTGTGGTACTGGGAGGTGACAGTGGTGGCAGGAATTGAGTGGCGGCCAATGATGGGTAACAGTCTGCAATATTTGCTCGTTACATAATTTATGATGGACATGCCACTAATCACAACAATCTAAAAATAGAAAAATGCTTATTTTTTCTCTTGCATATGATCATTTTAGCACCTATGTAGATGTGTCGATATGATAATAACGATTTTTATGATCATTATCGTCCAAATGATTGCATAATATTTAAGAAAATTATATAAAAAAAAACATATTATACTTTGTGTTAATGCTACTTGGAAATGTCACTATTGATGCTGCCTAATGATGTCATTGACCTTAAAGTTTCACATTGTAATTAATTCTCCATTATAGTCAACAAGTTTTTTTTTTTTTTTTTGTTGGGACATTTAGGTCAATTAACGCAGGCTCGCACACACATCACATACACAAAACTCGAATCCATGATCTCTTAGTTGGTAGCTAAGCTCCAAACCAACAAACCAAGATGAGCTATGCATATAGTTGGCATTTTGATTTGACCATCAAATATGACGAGACTCTTTTATAAACAAACATACTTGCTTAAAGGGCTCCTCGCCCAAGCTCAAGTAGTCTGAATAGAGCATCAGGTGGCTATCCATCCTTCTCATAAAAAAATGATCAGTTATAAGAGGAGGATCTGGACGTACATAATATCCTACAACCTTTGAACAAGGTCAACTAGGGCAATCAATATCTAATAGTCTAATGCTTCGTTTGGGATGGCTTTTGCTTTCTAAAATAATTTTTTAATATAAAAAATTATAGTTTAAGAAAATTTTATATTAAAAAACTGCTTTAAAAGATAATAAGTTGTCTCAAACGAAACCTTAACTCTCTTCAAACAAGCTAACTTGAAATAACTATGATGACATGTTATAAAAGCAAGCAACGCCATGCACTTTGAGCTCCAAAAGTTTTGAAGGGCTTGAAGATAATGATTATTTATGTTTTTCCATCAAGACATAAACATCTACCACGGACGGCCTTCGTTTGGGGGCGAGAAAGGAGCGAAAGGAAAAATGAAAGCCGTGCTCGAGGTCATGACTCGTGAGTCACAAGATAAGAGTAAAGGGGAAAACGAACCATTGATGTTTTTCATGTGTCCACAAAAAAAAATGTAGGTGGCTTCTTTGGATTAATAATTTTATTAATAAACAAGTTTAATTATGGAATTGGAGAGAGGAACTGATATAGTATGGATTTGGTTGGGTGTGCAGTCATGAGTGCGCGGTCGCACCATTTCTGTTGCGCAAAAAGAGTAAGGAAAAACAAAACCCTTCACAGTAATTAATTGGATCAATAGCACTGCAAAAAATAATTAGATAGTTGGATGGAAATTTAATATTTAATAATTATTATTCAATAATCAATAGTTAATTAATGATAAATTTTTTAATAAAATCATATTTAAATATTGGGGGGGGGTGGGCGGGCACGTGCCCTTGTAGAAGTTCTGCAACTAGGCGTTAACCTGCATAAGAGAAACAGAGAAACGGGAAAGGAAGAAGGAGCAGAATTTCATTTCCCTTACTTTTCCATTATTGTAGCACCAGTATATGTACATGTATCTTATGATTACATTGTAAAGAAAAGGGACACGTGGACGGTGCAGATACGACTGTAAAGGATCAATGGTGATTACCGTCTGCACGAATAGGGATATCAACACTACATCACATGGCATGATGGAAAAGCTAATTTCTTAATTCCTGCAGGTTTGCTCAATACCTCCCCGTAAGCTAACAGGAGGTGCACAAATAGTTAGCTTAGTTCTCAGCTGAGCAAACCGAGGAATAGATAGAGATTTAGTAAATAAATCAGCTAATTGATCTTGAGTATAGATATGAGCAATATGTAAGACCTGATTTTTAATGCAATCCCTAACAAAATGAAAATCAATTTCTATATGCTTGGTCCTAGCATGAAAAATGGGATTGTTAGCCAATGCGATAGCAGAAATATTATCCAGAAAAGAACTGTAGGGTGATAGATAGAGATATTGAACTCATTGATTAACCGGCGAAGCCATACGAGATCCGTGGCAGCGGTAGCAAGAGCACGATATTCGGCCTCTGTAGATGACCGAGCAACATTTTTTTGTTTCTTGACAAACCAAGAAATAAGAGTATCTCCAAGAAATGCACAATATCCAGATGTAGATTTGCGATCTGTCTGATCACCGGCCCAATCAGTATCAGAGTAGGCAGTTAGCTCAAGTGAACCAGAAGAAATCGGAAGGCCAAATGATAGTGTGCCCTTGATATAACGCAGAAGTCATTTAAGAAGTTTGAAATCATCTCAGCGGTGCATGCATATGTTGACATAACTTGTTAACTGAGTATGCAATGTCAGGGCGAGTGATTGCTAAGTACTGTAAAGCCCAACTAAATGCTGGAATTGATCTGCTTTAACAGACGACCCAGCACTGTCCGAAACAGAGAGAACTTTGTAAGGAATAGGTGTGCTGATTGGTTTACAATCTTTCATTTCAGCACAATTTAAAATTTATGAAGCATAAGTGGACTATGAGAAATGTAAGCCTTGAGTAGTAGTAAGAATTTGCATACCCAGAAAATATGCAATTGGACCCAAATTTTTCATGTGAAATTCAGCAGATAAACCGAGTAAAAGGTTTTGAATTGTTGGATCATGATTCCCAGTTAACAAGATATCATCTACATACACAAGTATGTATATAGTAACTGAATTTTTGCAATATAGTAAAAGTGATGGATCAGCCGTACTGTGAGTAAATCCATATTTGAGAAGATATGTGGAGAAAGTTTCAAACCACTTTCTAGGAGATTGCTTTAAGCCATATATGGATTTTTGCAATAAGCAAACATGATCAAGATATAAAGGATCCACAAACCCTTGAGGTTGAGTCATAAAAATTGTTTCATTAAGTTTGCCGTGAAGAAATGCATTGGACACATCCAATTGGAGAATCTGCCACTTTGAGGTCACAGCCTCCTTAAGAAAAATTCTGATTGTGGGAAGTTTAGCCACTGGACTGAATGTATCTTATAATCTACACCATATTGCTGATGGCAACCTTGTGCGACCATTCAAGCTTAATGCTGAGCAATAGAGCCATCTGAATTTAGCTTAGTTTTGTATGTCCATTTGCATCCCAAAATATTTTGATCCGGATGTGAAGGAACAAGTTTCCAAGTACCTTGTTGTTGAAGAGAAGCAAATTCTTGAGACATGACATTTCTCTAAGAAGAG